GAAAATGGTGAGTGACTCACTTATGATCAGAAGGGCAGGAACAGAATACCAGGCTCTAGATGCTCTGATCACAGCAAACTATTCCTTCATGAGTTTGCTGTGATGTAAAAGCCTATCAAAATCTATGAAAATATAACAGAGGTTAATAGGTAAAATGGCATTATCGAATGACCCTTGAAGTGGTCATGTCTGTTCATTTCTATTCCCCATGTGCCTAGCCCAGTGCATTGTACACAGTGAAACATCAAACTCTTCCTCAAAGTGCTGATTCTGTTCCCAGGAGAAAATAATTCCTTTTAAAATGCCTAATGTTTCATGAACATTTATCACATGAAGCTAATGCTTAGAGCATTCTCTCTGTGCTTACTTCTGACTAGAATTTTAAGAAATCATACTTTTTGTTGACCATGGTTAGGGAAAATCATTTCTTTGGGTCCTTTTGAGCCCGGAATAATTTGGGGGGTGGGGGTTACACAGCTTTTCTCCAAGTAGGATATTTTCCAAAATGTAGCTGAACCTTGCTCTTCTTTGCAGGGTTTGTGTTGAGCAACTGCTTGCAATCTGGCTCACCTATGTGCTGGCTGGATGGGTCAGGATTGCATTTCGTACATCTTACCCAGTAAGAGCTGAGAGGAAAACTTCATAATATAAGTAATCATAACCAGAGCACCCTTTCTTGTTGGTGAAATACAGAAATCCTGCTATAGACATTTCTTAGATTTATCAGGGAGACTACTCTGCTGTCGCACTTACAATTGGAGAAATATAGCTTCTGACTTTTTAGTAGTTTTTTTCCCCTTAGTATACATTTTACAACTTTTGATTTTAAGTAATTCTTTTTTTCCCACTTCTGTCAACCAAAATTCCAGAGATAGAGCAAAGAGAAACAGTTCCATATGAATTAGAGAATCTGTTGAATCTAATTGTGGATTTTGTCAAATATTGTCGTGACTCAACGCAATGATCAGCCTACATAAACTAAAATCAAGTATGATTTCAAAGGTGGGGCCCAAGGATGAAGTTTGGGAAAGTTCCGCAGAGCTGTCAGAGTTGCTCCTTATGTAGAAGTGAGCAGTGTCCGAAATAGTAATTTTAAGTCTTCGTTTCACTGCATGAGCGTTTAGAATTCATACACTAGCCAAGTTTAAATATCCTATCCTTTTTCAACCTGAAATTACAAAGTAAGCAGCTTTCATTTCATTTCATTCTTGTGTGTGTGTCCTTGTAGACTTTGGGATTCTTCACTGTAACTGTTCAGTACTTAACTATACACAATGGTGTTTGACAACTGTCAGTGTACATTGGCAGGGAAATAGCTACCTTCCTTCCTGTTTAGGAGTTAGGAAATGAGGAAGGATTATGTTTGCTTAAAGGAAAACCTATGTGTAAGACAATGGACTCTCCAGAACATAGTTTGCCCATTGAAATGAAAGGGATATTGAAAGCCCATGTTATTTGTGACAGTTCATTTGTCTGGATGCAAGGGGAATGATGGAGTTACGTATAGATTTAGGCATTTGTATTTAATAGCAGGTGACTGGTCAATCTGCAGTAAAATTTTAAAAGAATAATTTGAGAATAATGGGAAAACAATGTTATGAATGCAAGAGAAAATGACTACTCAGCATCTTCAAAAGACTTCCATACATATTAATTCCTCCATCCTTAAAACAACCTGATGAGGCATTTATGGGCGATCTTGTCATTATTATTGCTTACCTCTGTGACTTGCCTGTGGTTGCGCAGCTTTTTATAGCAGACTAAGAAACAGAGCAAGCTACCCTGGTGCTCCTTTCCCGTGACACTCCCTCTAAATGCATTCATAGAGCTAGCAGGGACATGTGTCTCACAGAATGGGACATTTATAATACGGCCACAGCTGTAACCATGAATCATTCTTTAATAAATGCCCACTTCGGACTGTTCTTCTTACTGGTCACCTCCCGTTATTGGACCATTTGTTTTATTACTTGTCTTTACAAAGCTCATCAGAATGATTTAAAGAAATAAGTGTTCCCATCTATTCTATTTACCCATCCAGTCTACTTAGTAGCTACCTACCTGTCAACCAATAAACTAAGTCTTATGTTTATTCATCTATATTCCAATAATTCATGGTTTTGCTCTGTGCTCTCCTCTCCTAGTGGCCAAGCCGTTTATTTCTGATAGTGGAGACATAACTGGGCAAGGTGGAAGTTGCTCTGGCAACTAGCCATGTGAGATAAACTGCTCGCTAACCTCACACAGCACTGCCATGCATATGTTCTGAGTGTTTAGGGCACTGTAATGGGGGAGAATTCCCCACCTTTCATGAATAACCATGAATTTAGCCTTTTTACATTTGGCTTTCCAAATCTGTTTCAAATCATCCCCAGCTCTTTCAGGAGTGCATTAATGCTCCTATCCGGAGAGTATTAGGGGGATAAATGAGCCACAGGGAAGAGTTATCATATTTTTCTTAAAGCAATTTGTTCCTTTTTTTTTCTCACAAAGTTAGAAGCCAAGCAATTTACGATTAAGATTTTTGGAGGACATCCTCCGTCATGTAAGCCTTTCTTGTCTGTGGTTTTAAAAATGCAGTCTTCACTCTGGCATCCTGACATGCATTAATGTGTTTCTCCCTCCAGGTAGATTACAGGTTTATTTCTACTGGCTAATGTAAAGTAGTTCAAATTCATTATGATCCACTGTAGAGTCTTTTGAAGAAAAGCGAGGACTAGTTAAAGCCTAAGGTCAGTTACAAGTAAGTAAGTGCCTGACTATGCATTTGTATTTGTGATATTCGGGAATAGCAGAGAAAGTTATCAATAATTTTAGTTTAATATATTTTCTACAGAAAGCAGTCTGATTTTCAGAAAAGGGGCATTATTATTATAATTTAATATTTTCTCTGTGTGTGCTTTAATTTATTTAATGGGTCATAAAGTTGCCTCTATTCTCACCATATGCAATTTATGACCTATTTTCTCAGGTCCTTTCCAAACAAAGTATTTCATAAAGAGACTCAGACCTGTAATGTTAAATTTACAAAAGGCCCATCACATGATGCAAGATTCCCTGCAGAATAAATGCACACAAAGATAGCATATGACATATCAGGTGACACATTGTACGAAACAGGAATGTTTTCTAGTTGACCTTGAACATGTTAATGGACTCATAGAACAAGTATCAGATAGAAAAATACCTAACAGATTATTCACTATGTCTAGCATTTATAATAGACATAAAATAGATAACAAACTGATTGTTTGACCCAGAATAAAATGCTCATATAAGAATAAAAAAAGAAAATTCAGATATATGTCTTTTTATCAAGGTTAGAAAAACCCTCATAGATAGATCTAATGTGGATGTATAGCTTGAAGAATGCTTTATGTAACAGATGAGTGAGCTGGTCCTATGAACATTGGCAAAGGAGCAGACTATAAGTATGAAGAGGCTTTATTTTAGTTTTGTGCTGAAGAAATGTGTGGTAGGATATTGACCATCATTTACTCTTACAAAAAAGAAAACCCTGCTTCTCCTTTGTCCTGAATTCTGTAGATTGAGACCTTTCATGTTGATCTAGTAAAGAATGGAAGTTGACTAATATGGCTTAGATAACTAGTTATAAAGTTCTGCCCTTTTCCCTGCAGTATATATTTCTTTTAGTTCAATTCCAAACATATTCTTTTTATTTCTCTGAGAAATGTTACCCTCTAGTTTTTCTTCTGAGTTGTGTAAGGGTGTGCTTGCTTTCAGCATTGTGATGTACTTCTATATAAAAGTCTAGGTGATGATATATACCAAACAACATTTTTACTACTTACTTTTTCGTGTTGGGCTCCCATTAAGTCTAGGTGATGATGATATGTGTCAAACAACTTTCTTATTATCTGCTCTTTCATGTCAGGCACCCATCAAAGTTCCATCAAAGACTCAGTAAATACAGATAAAGAAAGAAGCACTTCATTCCAGTCTTAATTACCATGCTGCCACCCCTCCCTAGTTTCTGAATCTTCCTTTCTAAAGACTTCTTCCTCCTTGCTCATTGCATTAGTACCCACTTCCATCCTCTTTCTACATCGTCTCCCATCATAGGTCTCTTTCTATGTTACCCAGATCTTTCTCTGTGTGATTCATGTGACCTATTTGAATGAGTGATCTGATTAGTTCCTGCAGTACTAACTGACCTAGCTCCTCGTCTTTAACTCTCCCTGTATTCTCTGCTCAATTCTAGTTCACAGGTAAGTTCCACAAGTGGTAGTGTCTTTAATGCCTATGCTTCTCCTCTAGTTTCTCTCCTCATACCATGGTACCAATTCCCTAATGCCATTCTCATCTCCAAATTCAGTAGCAATTTTTCATGTTGGTTGAATTTAAAAGTATATAATACCTTTGGCACAACAGTATCATCAGTGATAAAATTTAGATGTCATAGAGGGGCTCCAGCTACCTTTCTGGTTTTGTTTTCCACCATTCTCTTTGGTGAGCCTTATCCTTGCACAAAGAGGTTGTATGGGGTTTGAGTTAAAACTCATAAGTTTGAATTCTGCGTCTGGTATCTGTCATTGCTATGACTGCAGGGAAATCCTCTGCTTTCTCTATGCCTCACTTCTCTCTTCTACAAAACTGAGGGTAGTAAGTGACTCTACCATAAAAGACTATTGCAAGAATTAATGAAAACTCAGATATTAAATGCAGTAATAATTTTGTAATTACCAAACCTTATTAGGCTTCCCTTGCATATAAGATTGAGAGATATAAAGATCTCACAGTTTAATGGTTTGTTAACAAATGAGTGGATTGTTTTATAACCATAACCTGAAACCACATGGAAAGTTCAACAGTGATGGAAAATGTATCTGCTTTTGCTTCCTCTTCTGGGCCCATGAGTTAATGCTGAGTACTAAATACAATATGTAAATAACCTGAAGATCCCAAGTTGAACAACACTGTATAAACAACAATATGCAATACCATTTTGTTCTCAGTGGTATTTTCTTTTTCCAATTTAGGGACGAAATTTAGCTTCAGGAGAGGTTGGATTTTTCCCAAGTGATGCTGTCAAACCATCTCCATGTGTAAGTTCTTATATTTACCTTCCTTCTCATCTTATTTTGCTTTGATGCTATGATTAACTGTGCAAGAAGGTGCAAAGGATAGTGACTGCCTAGATTCTCAACAATTTTATCTATATTTTAATAGGGCAGGTCTTGCATGAATATAACCCCACAGATTATACTTTAATCTGTGCCAAAAAGTATTTCAAATCTTAAGAAAAGATATGCAGGATGGGAATATAGCATAATTTACAAAAATGTTTAAGGGTTCCTAGGAGAAGTAACCCAAGGTCACAGAGTGGATGTGCTGGGAAGGTTTTCTTTTCTCTGGGCATCAGTGGTCTAGTTTAACTTATTTCTGGTCACTCGAGTGACAAGAAGTACTTACACTTTAGCTGGTGTCTTTAAAGGGATGATAGAGAGTAAAAAGTTTACAAATTCTTCAACCAGGGCTCTGACTACTCTGCCTATGCTTTAGAATGTCCTTTCCTATTTATTTAATATCATAATGAAATTTTCTGAAAATAGATAAAAGGGAAATGAATGACTATTATTCAAATAATATGGGTGACTATAATGTAAATGCACTTTCTCATGCCATGTGTTGTTGATTCATTTCTATATGGGGTGGAGTTATTTTAACGTCATAATTTTCCCCACAATCTTAAAGTTTGTGAATGCAAAGTAATGAAATTTCTTTACTAACGTGATGCATATGATTACTTGAGGGGAAAATGCCCTCAAAATTCTCAAATAATCTTTCTTGTTATATTTTGTATCTCTCAACTGCACATTCTTTTTGATATTGCAAGTGTAATATCTGTCACCTTTAATTTAAGGATGTAATCTTACACCATTTATTCAAGCTTAATTATTTTTGAAAAGGAAAGGGAATTTTACAAAAGGATTTGCTGTTCTATTTGTTATGATAGATAGGTTCATTCTCACAGGTACAAACATAAGCAATCATATTTACAGAACAGTTAATAGCAAGAGATTTTTAATATTCAGACATTTGGGAACCTGAATAAGCATTTAATATTTTCTGTTTACATCTTGTATGAGTTTTAGAAATTTTGCTTTAAAGATAGCCTGGCATAAAAACACATTCAAATTTGTTGAATGGATGTGCACAGGATAAAACAGCAAATTTGGATGCCTCAATGCACATAGGTAATTAGTGAATGAAATCAGTTTATAGAATCTACTGTAACTGCCTCGAAGGAAAACAGTACTCAGATATTTGAAGATACTGGAGTAGTACACTAGCACATAACCAGGAACAAAACAACCAGGTAAATATCAATGCTTCTATAGCTTCAAGTTAACAGGTGGCTACTAAAGTGAACTACTGATGTAATGAAATTATATACTTATTTCTTTAGCTATAGGGCAAGCCGAATGAAAGGAAGGAGACAGGTTAAAGAGGGGAAAGCCTTGCATGAGCTCGAAAACCGCATCCCTTTGTTTATGTTGATTATCAGGAGTCCCTGAGTAGTGCTGTGAATTCCATTCAGGGCTTAAAATTTATTTATCTCAGTGTGTTGTTCCTGTGTCTTCAGAAGTTTTGAAACATTCTAGTGGGACCCTCCAGGGTGGTCCACTAAAGATTGTAGAGAGCTGAGGTGGTTAATTTATGACAGCAGAGTGATTGGAGACAGAGGTGGGGCTATAACACCGTGCATAGTTGGATAAATGTGAATCTGGTGGTTGTCAGGGTGTGTTCCAATAAAACGCCACCTGACAAAGGAGAAACTTCTGTTGGTCTTCACTCTGGGAGAGATAAAGGAAAAGCAAGGTATGCCCAAGAAATTGCGAGCATGAGAGACTGATCCCTTAAAGATTCCTAAACATCAGTGTAGAAGTCATTCATATATAGGGCCAGAATTCATACTGTCTTATGACTTAAATCATCCTTAAAAGAAATATAATTTTAAAATGGCTCGACATCAGTTGGTCCCCAAGTAAAAATACATATTCTATCGGTCTTAGCCTCTTCACAGATAGCAACCTCCTGTGGTTTGTTCCAGATAAAGTTCCAGGGGATATAAATTTACCATTTGGAATCATCTAATCGACAAGGAAACAGACCACCTTAGGCTAGGGTTAGCAGACACAAAACGTAGAGTTAGACTCATGAAGCAAATACAGGATACGATACTTAAATAAAAAATTCTATATTTGATGTTACTAAAAAGGAGATAAAAGGAGATTACAACACTTTATGATTGTCTGGGCTTCTCAATAAGAGATTCGGATCTAATAATTGAAGGGAAGGCCTTAATGGGTGCATTAGATGGCTTCTCAGACATGGGTGAGTAGAAAATTGGAAGAGAAATCTGAAGAAGTTTCTCAAATGAGTTCAGAGAGATTAGGCAATGGAAACTGTAAGAGAGGATGAAATAAGATTCAAATGTATCAAATAGAAGAGATTAAAGATAATTCTAAAAAAGCAATATTCAAATAAGTCATGGCCAAGAGCTTTACAGAATTTGTGATAAAACTAATTTTAAAAATAAAGATGAGTAATTGAAATTAATCAGCAGCTAGATGTATTTTAATGAAACTTCAGGATATTAAAGATGGCATTAAGTCCAACCTGCGAGAAAAGACAAATGCCTATGAAAAGCATTGGCAATTGGATTCCAAACTAACAGCAGCAATAATAGAAGTACACACGTCTACTAATAGTCAGGGGCGATCTTCCATTTTGCTAGTTCCCAGGTAACTAATTTAATAGAAAAAAAACATTAACTACTAAATAGTAATTAAACCTGTCTGAGCCGGCTAATTAGCAAAAAGATTGACATGTGGAAATGGGCGTGCTGTTGAGTTTCCTGGTTTGAATACAGGCATGGGGTTATAGCATTCTGCGTAGCCAAACTTCAGATAGAAACCGTATAGTTCTCTGCCTTGAAGAACTGGAGTATGGAGGGTGAAGCACCACAGTATACGATGGGAGAAAGCATTAGAAGGGATGGAGTTATCAAGTTCTGTGTATAAACTCAAAATCTTTGATTGAGTAGTGAAGCCAGTGATTCCCTCAGCTTGGGCAAAAAGAAGTTAAAAGAGAAATCCTCAACTGCTTACTACTGGAGACAATCTAAAGTTATAATTTAACTAGATTAACTTCCTGCTTTGAGACAAGAGACACCTGGAGCTTGAATGATAGCCTAGTATTTATAACATCAACACATAAAGAAGCAGAGGAACATAAACCACACTCAGAAATCAATTCTCATAACCATGTTCAGAACACAAAGTTAAATATGTCCATAATGAATGAGTAGATTGGGCACCTCAGCATAGAACTTGAAACGGTTACAAAAGAACTGGATGGAGACTCTAGAACATGAAAATGTGATATCTGAAACAAAAAATTAGTATGTTCAAAGTTTTGCAAGAAAATCACTGTTGATTTAGAAATTTAAGGCCTGCTTCCTAGTTTTACTGAGGAAAAAAACACTGAGAAAGTTCATTTCTAAGTGCCCCATTTAATTTTAAAAAGCACACTTTTGGGTAGGAAGGATATGCCGTACATACACATATTCCCAATAAGTTATCTAGGATCTTTACTTGTCCGTAGTAGAAATTTAACAATGTAAGGCATCAATGATGACGGCTGATAATGACATTGGAGGACTATAGGAAGCATATACTAAAAGGATAAAAGGGGGTCGGGTGGTAGAGAGGAAGGAGGGGGAACTGGGATTGGTATGTAAAAAATAAATAAGTAAATAAAAGTTTTGAAAAATGAAAGGTATCCAGAAGTGATCTATAGCCTTAAGTGTGACACAATAAAGTTTTTGTCAAACAAAGTCCTGAAGTATACCCAAGAGAAGTTAGGACGAGCATGAGAGATGGGAAAATATAGCATCCTGTCCTAGTTATAGGGATTTGAGATGGTTATATTTTTGTTTAGTTTTTAATTGCCGATGTGATACTACCTATAGTAATCTGGAAAGAGAGACCATCAATAAGAAATTGCTCCTATAAAATTGGCCTGTGCTCATGTGTATGAGATTGTCTTGATTGATAAGTGTGCAGGAGGGCCCAGTCCTCTGTGGGCCGCACCATCCCTAGGCAAGTGTATCTGGTCTGTATAAAAAAAGCTGCCTAAGAATGAGCCAGAGAGCAAGCTAGCAAGCTAGCCTTGTTTCCTGCCTCAAGCTTCTGCCCTGAGCTTCTGTTTCGACTTTCCAAAAGTGATGAATTATAATGTGGACATACAAGTTAAATATGCATTCTTCCCTTTAGTGGCTTTTGGTTAGTGTTTTATTGCAGCTGCAGAAAAAAAAAATGGAACAGTGGTCAAGGACCCACATAGCAGAACAGACCCACAGAAGAGTCAAGGCTCCTCTAGGGAGCTATGGGATGGCCTCAGTTGTTTGGCTGTTGTGAAATTATATGTCACTCTTTACTTCTTGGATATCCATCCTTTTCCAGCCAAAGGAGAGACCGCAGGCAGAATGTGTGGGAGCTCTTACCTATTGATCTCTTCCCTCTTCCCAAACTCCCTGCATTGTAAAAGACCCAGGGACATCATGGGCTGTGTCTGTCAAAGACTTACTGATTCATGAAGGTTTTCAAAAACTCAAAACAGACTATCTATAGCCTACTTTTTCTTCAATAGCTTGGAAATAGCCACCCTTTCTGTGGTATGTGATTTGTTGGACATTTTCTGACTACTGGTATACATTCTTCGGCTTTTTCACTTTCTAGTCGTCATTAACAACTATAAGATTCTTGCTTCATTTGTACATAAAATGTAATATTTTCACCTGTGCAAGTCTCTATATGAAAAAGTAATGTGCGGATATTTCCTATGATATTTTAATGAATGAAATGTTTCCTTGTTGGAAGATTTTTAAAGCAGAGTTCAAAATTTTTGCAAAACAGCATCTAAATCCAGTGTGTACTGTTTATTTCACATCTTCTTTTTTTTTTCGTCTTGGGGAAGGGAAGTACTATTTGCCTTTCTTAATAACATTTTCATTTTATTTTTTTTTATGTTGGATTAAACTGTCTTGTAGTGAATATTGAAAGTTTCTAATTCATATTATTCTGCCATCTTTTCCCTTGAAGGTATAGTATAAAAATGCATGAAAGAATGAAATAAAGCAAAATGAATTATTTTCTACTCATCTGACATATACTATGACTCATTCTGTGTAAACTAGCTTGCGAATAGTTTCCAGGACTGTGCTACTTAAGGGTTTTATAGAGCAGAGTCAGCTGAACCGAATGAATGATTGATTTCTGAAAGCTACCCTTAAGTAAACTTAATCTATTTTTGCCTTTTTATGTCCTAGGTACCTAAACCAGTAGATTATTCTTGCCAACCCTGGTAAGTATTAAAAAATGTTTATATTACTAAGTTGAAATACCATACTCCTAACTCGAGGACGCCTTAAATGTGTGGTTGTAAACCATGCTCCATTTACACTTGTCCTTGCTAAAGGTTTTCATGTGAAGCAAAACACCATAATGAATCTGCATATTGCTGGCCAATCTGTATCATGATTGAATAGTGGTGTCTCTCTGTGTGTACATGTGAATGCACACAAGCATAAATGTCTGTAACAGCCATAGAAAGAAATGGGATACATCCTGGTGTATGTCATATTTTGAAAAGAGAAATCTCATGAAGCAAAGAAGAAAAAAAAGATTATCTAAAACTAAGAACCACCTCAAAAGGATAGTATCTAAAATTGTGGTTTCTAGTGTAGAATAGGGGACTAAGATGGCCCATGTCTGATTTGGGTTTTGTGTGACATCTTTACCTGGGAAGATGTCCACACACGGCTGTCAACTCATCACAGACAGGGAGGCCGTAGCAGGCCAGAGGAATGGCTGCACAAGTGTCTGTCTCGGTGACCTAATGAGTTGTTTTACTGGCATTTCAGACAGGGTTCACAAGGAATGGGAATGACCACTTACAAAAGCGCCAACCTTGGGCCAGCTTAGCAGTCTAGTAATTTCTTCTCCGCAGTTCAGCTATCTGATCTCCCTCGCCCAGCATCTGTGAACTCCCACTTAGACTGGTAGAAAGGGGCCCTTGAGAAAATTCCAAGGTTCTGTTCCCCCAGAAATGTGACCTTTAGTTTACCTCATGAGCCTCATGAGCCTCTCTCCCCCTCCTGGAGGGAATGTTCCAACAAGGAGAAACAGGCATTTAACAGGTCCAGATGGAGCATATTTACCACCGAGATGCTGGTAGCAGAATCAAAGATGGCAAAGGTTGTTATTTTTCAAGTATTTTCAACTTTAAAACTACATGTAGGGAGAAGAGGAGGGAGGGGAAACCATAACCAAGATGAAAAAATAATTAATTAATTAAAAAACTTCATGTAAAAAGAATAGCTGCGACTTCATTATGTCATAAGTAATATGTGTACAGTGTTTTATAAGCACTTTTCACTTTAAGTATTTTATTTCACTATTGACAGTGTAAACCATTTTGCATTTCTATATGTCCTATAACAAAAAATTGCCCCAAATTCCTATGTGGAAGATATTATTGTCATTATTATCATTGAGGGAGAAAAATGGGGCGTGGTATTTCAGCAGCTATTGGCTGACGGAGCGGAAGTCGCTCCCTGCTGCACTGTGGGCTCGTATTTCAGCGACTATTGGTTGAGGCAGCGGAAGTTACTCCCACAACAGGATAAAGGCCATGGCACCAGTGTGAGGTAGCCTCAAGACTCTCGGTGGTGCCCTTTGTACCTTGCTATCAAAGTATCAAAATACAAAACCTGAGCTTTTGCTGGGTTGTATGTGTTTCCCTGGATTTGTGTTTGACATTTCTGAAAATGAATGAATCTCTTTTCTTTTCGTTGATATTTGTTTCTGCTCCCAGATATGTATATATGTATGTATGTATGTATGTGTGTATGTGTGTGTATATACATATCTATGGATGTAGTATCTTGAGGTTATATAGCACTAGTTCAGTGTGCAAATGTGGATAGCTCCTCAATATGTACTATATATGATGTATATCTATTTCCGACTACTTGGTTGTATAAGGAATTTGTAGAGAGGGCCAGGAAACGTTTCAGTGTGTGGCATTATCCTCAACCCTCTCGCTGACTCTCAGCACCTACGTTTGCCTCCCTTGCCGTTACCTGCAGTTTCTGCTGCCCTCTTCTTGGCCTCAGCACTGAGCTTGCCAAAGAAATTGGATCAAATTGGGAATCTTGGATACATTTTCACATCGCGGAGGACAGTTTCCAAATTTTGTTACTGTGGAATCTAAAAGCATATTAATGACAGAAATAATTTTTTTTCATACCACTAGATTTTATGGCTAAAAGGTTGATCATTTTAGAGATAAATACTAATGTCTCCAACTACATGGATTTTATTAAATAACTCAGGCAGTTAACTGAGAACTGTCGAGGCACAAGAGGGTGGGCAGGTTTGTACATGGTTTTTCTTTTTTCAATGTACTCTTGCCAAAATGTAAAATTCTGTTGGAAGTATGACCAGGTAGAATAGCAACACTCCTAATGATTAAAAAAAAAGATCAAGGACAATGGTACTGGGTCTTGTTTCGTCTGCATGGACTGGCTTTTTGGGATCCTGGCCTGTTTGGATGCTCACCTTCCTGGACCTGGAGGGAGGGGGGAGGAACTTGGACTTCCCACAGGGCAGGAAACCCTGACTGCTCTTGGGACTGGAGAGGGAGGAGGAGAGGGAGTGAGGGGAGCAGGAGGGTATTGGGAGGAGGGGAGGAAGTGGAAATTTTTATAAATAAATAAATAAGTAAATTTAAAAAAAAATCAAGGTGCCAAGACAAAGGAAACACCTTAAATATAGGAATTAATAAAGACATTTCAGAGTAAAAGCTTTCAATTACATTTTCTTCTTGAGCAACCTAGGTAGTTCATTACAATTAAGTAAATGGTTTCATGTGAAATTTCTTCAACTTGGGAATAATTACCAACTACTCACGAAAACTTAGAGTTTTAAGAATATGAGACACAACAGCATCCATTTATATTATCCGTTAATTATTTTCATCTGAAAAGAAGGTTGATCCAGCCAAGTAAATATTGCGTTTATAAACCATGAAATAAAATAGGAAAGCAACAAGACTCTCTTCAATAACCCATGCTTTATGCATGGAATGTTTGAAATGCTGGGGTGAAGTCTGGAGTTGAAGACAGGGGAGCTCCTTGGAAGTTGGAATGTGGTAGATGCCAAGGCCCCTATTGCTTTTTCCCAGTGTCAGATTACCTGCCTTTTAACACTGCCAGGAAACAGTGTTGTTAGGTGTATTACATGGGAAAACAGAACCACACAGGGTTTTGACTTGGAAAAGCCAAGCCTAACAGAGGCTGGGGAGATGCCAAACCTGAAAACACTTATATTAAGCAAAGTCTTCATATCCTAGGTGAGAACCCTATTTCCTTCATATAGCTTAGATCTGGCACAAGAACAGTTTCTCATGTGCTGTGCCCCTTCCTTCAGTGCAGAAATGAGTTTGGAGAACTCTAAAGAATGTGAATAAACTCAGTAAGAAATCCAACCCCTTAACATTTGGATGTTTCCCAGTCCAATTATCAAATTTTTGCCAAATTAGCAGACTTCTACACAGTGGTGTACTTTTGGACCTGTACACACAGAGTCCTCAGTCGTTCCTAGATTTAGCTTCCTTATGTATGAATATGTGATGAAGAGAAACCTTACATTTGAGGAAAAATTTGGATTACGTGTATGATAAGTGTTTTGTAAGAGGGATGATTTGAAAATGGGAAGCTTTACTAAATTAAGTGGCATAAGAACTTGGGAAAACATTGAAAGAATTTCAGAAACATCAAAGGAAAAAGGTAAGATGCAAGTAATATTTTAAAAATTAGATAATTAGCATGAATTCTTGATAGTATTCAACTTATAAGAACTCCAGAAAGAAAAAAATGCTTAAGGGCATCAATTACTAAAGAAATAATACAAAATTTCCAGAGCTGAATGCCTTGTCTACAATTTGGGGATGCTGCCGAAAGCATAGGAAAGTACATTATCGTTAACATTTTCTCCTATAGGAAACAAAGAACCCGAAAGTTCTCAAGGGAAGGCATATCAGGGCACATCCCATGAGTCAGAAATTAGAGGGAAATTAATTGGATACCAAAAGGTAAAGATCTAATGCCATTAATATTTAAGAGGCAAAATCATTTCTCACTTGGAATTTCGTTCCAACCAAGCTACGAATTAAGTGTAAAATGGATTAAAATGAAGTACTTCCATAAATGCTTGGCTTCAAAGTATTGCATCCGAGACTATTCATAGGAAATCCAAGGATGAATTTTTAATCCAAGGCAAAGGAAAATGCAGTATCCAGGAATGAAGCAACAGGCTTAGAGGGCAGGAAGAATCAGTTAGTTTAAGAGAGTCAGGGACTCAGAAGCCATTGGGTTAAGACTGAGAATGTTGCAAGTAGAGTATATAACATTGAAAATGTACTATCAGGGAGTTTATGTCAAAAATTTGGAAAGAACTGTAATGGATATAAAACAACCTAAACCAACAAACTTTTGTGCTTACTTTTTTACAAGTCAAACATTTTTAACTATTACCCTGCTCAAAATGGGTCCGATGATGGCTTGAGTTCACAGAAGTTATAGGAAGACAATAATCTATCACAGAGTAGGCATATGTCAGGAGAAACGTGACTTTCCTTCCTTATGTTTAGAGTTATAAGTTAGTGAGTTTTAGTAGAAACACGATTATTTAAAATATCTATATAGAAACAAGGAAAAAACAGGTTAAATATTTGACCCAGGACTTGGAGTAGAATGCCCATATGATAGACTACTGCTTTTCACTGTAGTACAGATTACTTTTTCAAACTGTATTTTAATTATATTAGCACAAATTGTATATATACATATGCTTGTATATATACACATATATCAATTTGTGGTGCTAGCCAGGGCAATAAGGATGCGGTAATCATAATGATTGAGTGAGGGTTGCATGTGCAGGACAACTCTTTAGATAGATAGACCGGATGACTCTTTAAACATGAACGACAAGATCAATTGTGTTGGAAGAAGTGTGTGTTTGCACAGTCAGAAGGAAACAGGCAATCCATAGATACAGAAGGCTGGAGAGTAGAGATGCAGGGATTGGAAGAGATAAGGCTCATGAGGTAAGCATGAAGCAGACTGTATTAGATCCTAATAGGTCATAGGTTATCATAACTGCCTTAAAAAAAATGTGCCATTGGTACACAATGCCATTAACTCCCTTTTACAATTGGTGTCTGATTGCCTGCACTAGATTCCACAAACTTTTCTTAAATGTCTTCTGTGTACATTTTCAATAAATGGTGTAGATTAAAGGCAGAAGTTTATGCTGAGTTTATGATTCAACATGTGAGTCAGATTTCATGAATAGATTGAAAAAAACCAACCCAAATATAGTTACCTTTTAATTTCAATTGCTCTGGGTCTTTGATGTTCCTTGACACTCTCTGGTATGCTTACATTTGATACAAGGGGTCATACAAAAATAATTTAGCCCAGAGTTTTGGTATTTTACTATGATGGTTATTATTTTAATGGATTTTGGCTGTGTTTAAGGCCCATATAATCTAGGGAAACTTGAACTCTGGTTTTCAAAAAATATCTGTTTTTGAAAATAGTACCCTCATTATTGCTTGTTTCATTAGAAATTTGTTAGATTGTGAACTAATATAATTTATCCCACATTCAAATAGTAATTATTTTAAAATAGTTTAAATTATACCAGAGTCTTTTAAAAATTCATCAAAAGACATTTGATAATATACATAGAAAAGGTGAATTGTGTGTGTGTGTGTGTGTGTGTGTGTGTGTGTGTGTGTGTGTGTGTG